TATACATTAAATTAATTTAAAAATAAATAAATTAAAAAATTTAATTATATTTAAAAATATTACAATAAGTTTAAATGATTAAAAAAAATTGAATGCATAAAAATATACCAAATTTCAAGAATAAAATATTTATAGTTATTAAAGACTATTAAAAGAATAATAAGAAAAATATTAATTAAGATAATAAAAAATATATGATAGTAAAATAATTTTAAATAATAAATAATACAATAACTATAAGAAAAAATAAAAAAAAGAATTTGCGTAAAAATAATGTGATGAATAAGACATATTTAACTTTTAGATAAAAACAAAGTGATAATAAGAAGTTTGTTAAAATAATATGATCTAATGTGCTCAAACAAGACATATCGCAACATGATATGTTTAGTATTCTTTGATACTGACAGCAAAACGAAGTGCAAGCTAAAATCAAGTAGTTAGGTTGCTACAAATAAAAAACAAAATAGGTTGTGCACTACGAGATTTGAACAATAATTTCATATCCTACTTCATAATTACTAATGTTATATAATTTTTATCTGAGAGGTTTATATTTTAAGGTTATTTGCACATGATTCAAATAACCAACATCACAGTTTAACATGATTTGTGTCCGCGCATCGCGCGGGTACTAATACTAGTTATTAAATAAAAACATTAAAGTTTAAAAGAGAAAAAAAGAAAAGTATCTTTATTCTTTCCCGCCATTTCTCTCTTACACCTCCCCCTTGTCCTCACCGCCGCTTCTCCCTTTCCTTTTCCCCCTTTTCTTCCCCTCTTTCTACTCTTCCACAGGTGACTGTGATTTCTCATTTCTCTTCTCGCCGGTCGGAGCTCTCCCATTTTCCGGCGAAACCCTAGTCCTCCAGCTACCCTCTCCCTCTCGCAGAACCATCGAGGTAATATAGCTCATTCAATTTTTGAGATTTAGAATATGAAGTTTTTATTCAAATGCTGAAATAGTTTTTAATTTATAGAAGAGTACTGATTATTTCTTAATTTATAGTAGTTATCAAGTGTTCTGGCAATCTGTTTCATTAGATATACTGATTTTAGGTCTAACAATTAATTGGCAAAGGCCCAATTTTCACTAATGCAAGCGCTAACGGGTGATATGTTTTTGTGATATTAGTAATCATACTCAAGTTTATACTTTGCTTTAGGTTGTCATAATTATCAACTTGTTTGCTCGATCCATTTGTCTATTTAAATCGAGAAGACGATTAACCCGAATTGAAGCATCAAATTGACCAAATGTATATCCTATCTGGATCATGCAATAGAAAAGACAACATGTCTATATTCCAAGCAGTGTTCTCCGCCTACATTCAAGGAACGTAGTTGTTTCGAGCAAAAAGCTAATTCGATTCGACCAAGTTTAATTATACACTTTTGTTTTCTTTTTGTTGTATAGAGGAACTTGTAAATGAAGCAGAATCAATACTAGGTCTCTTAGAATCTCTACAAGACTAGAAAGGGATTCTTCTCTAGCTTTTTGTTCACTTCTACATATCCGAGCACTTTCTTGGTGAATATATTTACCTTCTCTCAAAAATTGACATGGTATTTCTTGTATAGTCTATATGTTGGAGAGCTTCTTTCTTCTGCTTATATCATAACACTAAAAGCCACACTCCAGGATTCTTTGTGGAGATAAATTGATTTTCCAGTAAAGAGCTTTATACTGATTGCAGGATTTTTGGATATCTTAATTGCTCTTTGCTTACCATATACTTTATATTTACTTATCAGTATATATATTTTCTTCATTCTCTTCTTTCATTTTGCACTTTGAACTGATTTTCCTTTCAATTTCGGAACACTCAGATTTTGCTAACATCTTCTGTAGGCTTTCTTGCAAAGGTAATTGGACAAATTATAGCTGGTGATAAAGCAATTGTCTACATTCCTATAGAAGCTTCCAATGGCAGAAACCCCAAAGAAGAAAGCCAAACAATCCCTTAACACAACCCCCATTAAGCAACACAAGCAACTGCCTGTTTCTAATTTATCTCCTTTAAACCCTATTGTCCCTCCAACTCCACAAACCCTAGACCCCACCCCTCGCCGCCGCTCCCTCCGCCTTACCTCCATTCCTCAAACCCCACCACTACCTTCGCCTCCATCTTCTGCCCGCTTCTGTAAATCTCTCAACTTCACTCCCAAAAGTGCTACAGATTCAGCAAGAAGAAAATCAAAGCTCACTGTTTCAACCCCCATTTCGACACCGAGACCCACTGAATCGAAGAGGAAAAGGAAATCTTCAGAGAACAAGAATGTGGCTGTTGAAAAAAGAAGCAGTTTAAGGGGTTGTAAGAAGAGGGTGTATTATAAAAAGGTGGTTTATGATGGGGGAGAGTTTGCTGTGGGGGATGCTGTGTATGTGAAGAGAAGAGAAGATGCGAGTTCGGATAATGAGGATCCCGAAGTGGAGGAATGTAGGATTTGTTATAGGCCAGCAGGGAGGGTGATTATGGTTGAATGTGATGAATGCTTAGGAGGGTTTCATTTGAAGTGTTTGAAGCCACCACTGAAAAAGGTTCCTGAAGGGGATTGGATTTGTGTGTATTGTGAGGCAAAAAAATTAGGGAAAATGGTGGAAATGCCTGCACCACCCAAGGGAAAGAAACGAGTAAGGACTGCCAAGGAGAAGTTACTTGACAGTGATCTATGGGCGGCTTGTATTGACAGGTATATGAACTTATTTCCTAAGTTAATTATAAGAACTTTTTATGGTTTTGTTTAATTTTGCATATCAATAGTCGTGATGTTTGGTTAATTCTGATATCAATGTTATAGTATATGGAAAGAAGTGGATGGTACCTACTGGTTTCGGGCACATTGGTATATTATTCCCGAGGAAACGGCTGCAGGAAGACAGCCACATAACTTAAGGAGAGAACTCTATCGGACTAATGATTTTGCTGATGTTGAGGTAACATTATGCTATTCTGTTTTCTGTTGTACAATGTAATAATTTTTACTTTGGAAGTTTTATGCCACCTATTTTGCTGCTTTTGAGGATTGTAAGTTTTGTTAAGGAAGAATATTGTCATTACTTGAAAATCAGTTCAATTGATTGATAACTTCCCAAAAGCAAAAGATAGGTGGACATGAATGTTTTAATCTATTATTAAGCATTGTTTTTGATAGAGTTCTTAAAAATGAAAGATTACAAGTGGTAAGCTTGCTTTTTGGGTTTTGGATATTATAACGGATCTAGAGGTTAGGACTCACCTAGATGCAAAGAAGCCAAAGCTTCAATTTCTCTGCTTCATGGCAGTCTGATCTTGGCTGGTTATATTACGAGTAATTGACCATTGCATCTGTTAATGAAGGCCTACTATTCTGTTTGCAGATGGAATCTGTCATCAGACATTGCTATGTTAAGAATCCAAAAGAATTTGAGAAGGCGAGAAATGATGGAGATGATGTTTTCCTCTGTGAATATGAGTATGACATTCACTGGCATAGTTTCAAGCGCATTGCTGAGATTGAAGATAATGATGTGGTATGTTCTAAAAAAAATTGATGATATTTTGTGGAACCTTTGTTTATATGTGATGGAAGATTTTGGAACTAATAAACTGTCTCCTCATTTGGTAGGACGAGGAAGAAGCTGAGAAAGACGAGGACTGGAACTCTTGTGAAGATCCAGATTCTGACGTGGATGATGCAGTAGAGTATGAAGAGGAAAACCAAAGTAATCCATTAACCAGACCATCTCCAGCTCATCCGTTGGCTGCGGTATACAAATTGTCCTTTGTCAGATTCCTACTCTTCTTTATGCTGCTTAAAGCAGAAGCTAAATAGTTTTTCTACGAGTGCAGAATTCAAGAAAGGGACGCTTTTTTGGACTACAAAAGATAGGTGCAAAGAAGATACCAGAACATGTGAGATCTCACAAGCTTACTGAACTTGAGAAAGCAAAAGGAACCCTTTTACTGGCAACTTTGCCCAAGTCTCTACCTTGTAGGACTAAGTATGTCTTTCCCGAGGTGCAATCTTTATGCAATTTGCTCCATATTTATCTGACAAACAAGTGCTGTTATTTTTTGGCAGAGAAATGGAAGAGATAACTACTTTCATAAGAGGTGCAATATGTGAGGATCAATGCCTGGGCAGATGCCTTTACATACATGGTGTTCCTGGGACAGGAAAGGTATCTATTGGCTTAAGGGAATACCCTTGACTGATAACACAAGGCAGTCATGTTTTGCCTCTATCTTTTAGGCTTGTCAGACATTACTGATTTGTTCCTTTATCTGCACTATACTGCAGACAATGAGTGTACTAGCAGTAATGAGGAATTTAAGGTGTGAAGTTGATGCAGGGAGCATTAAACCTTATTGTTTTGTGGAGATTAATGGCCTAAAATTGGCTTCACCTGAGAATATTTACAGTGTAAGTTTGAAGTTCAATCTTTCTGGTGATGCAGACGATAGCTTTATTCTCTGAAATGTTTCTCTTAACTGTTTCAGGTTATTTATGAAGCACTTAGTGGGCATAGGGTCGGTTGGAAAAAGGCTCTTCACTTCTTGAATGAGCGGTTTTCAGATGTGACTGAATGCAGCAAAGAGGACAACCGCCCATGTATTCTACTTATAGATGAACTTGATCTCCTGGTTACCAGAAATCAAGCGGTAAAATGATGCATCCTTTTATCCAGCATGGTAAATATCCAAAACAGCAAATTGCATATTATGACCTTTTTCCTTTTAATTACAGGTTTTATATAACATTCTCGATTGGCCTACAAAGCCAAATTCCAAACTGATTGTTATAGGTGTGTGTGCAATTTGCTGTCAATGTTTCCTTCCATCTGTGTTAGTATTACATGTAAAGATAAAATGGTAACTTTTCTCACCAACAGGTATTGCAAATACTATGGATCTTCCGGAGAAGTTGCTTCCGCGGATTTCAAGTCGTATGGGCATACAAAGACTTTGCTTTGGTCCATATAACTATCAACAGCTTCAAGAAATTATTGTAACTCGCCTCAATGGAATTGATGCCTTTGAAAAACCGGCAATTGAATTTGCTTCAAGGAAGGTTGGTCCTTCTGTGGTGCATCTCTACCAGGAGCTTATCTTTATTACCTGATTATAATTATCACAATTACATACTCGAGCTTGTGTGCTGTTGTAAATGTGATACTTAAACTGATTTTAAAGCAATGTCCACTTCACACATAAATCCAGGTGGCAGCCGTTTCAGGTGATGCACGCCGTGCACTAGAAATATGTAGGCGAGCTGCGGAACTTGCAGACTATCATGCTAAGAAATTGCTATCAATTCCCAATTCTGCTGCAGCAGGTGAGAGCTAAATCTTGAACTATGTAGACACTAGTGGCAAGAAAACAAATACTTGGAATTCCAGTAGAAGGAAATACACATTTGTTCTGGCGATGAACATATGTAACAGATGGAGTGTTGTCTACATCTTTATCTCTATTTCCTAGTGTCAAATTTCTTAAACTTGTGATACATGTTTCAGCAATCAATGCACCTCTTTTATTCCCCAACATTCATTTCATTCACCAATTGAATTCAAATAGGGATATCACGACTGTTAAAACCTTAGAATACAAGCACTCAAGCAATAAAAGGATGCCTCATGAGATCCATCAATGAGCTAGTGCCTACAAATGATAAACTGAATTCAACCCAGTAGTCACATTCAACAGGAAGCTGATTTACTAGACATGTGCCAATCATGTAAGCTAATTTGATAGTTTCCATTCTTTACATAATCAACTGTGCCATCTCCCAAGATTTTATGGTGTTACCTTTGGTGTTTCAACGGTTGGCGTATTTCATTAACCAAGGTGGATTCTTAGGTTCTTATAGGCAATCTCTTGATATCTCACTTAGTAAAGAAGCAGCATCAGTATTAGCTGTTTTGAGTAACAAAATAGAATGTACAGCAATCTTCATTCTTGCTATTCATAGCAATAGATCTCCTAGGTGTTTTTATGGTGGTTGGAGGCATCAACTACTGCTTGCTGCTATTATCTTTTAGCTGGGTGGTTTTATACAGATTACTAATCTATGCTTGCTTTATGTTACAGGTAAAATACTTGTCAGAATGGCAGATGTTGAAGCAGCCATTCAGGAAATGTTCCAGGCTCCTCATATCCAAGTGAGTCCAAAAGGAACACCCTGTGGTGTAATCTCAATATTCATTTTAGTTAAAGGGGACTTATCTTCTCGATAACAATCAAGAGTCCACTTTTTTTTTCCAGTTATAGGTAAAAGATATAGTATAAAACTAATGGACTAAGCCAGTGCCCAAGGCATAATTAGAGGTTATGCAAATTAGCTATTATGTCTAACATTGCCTCTACATCTTGTACAATAGCTAGTTTGCACCAGAAAGCTAGCAACGAAATGCATCTATGTTTAAGGCTATGTATGTTCTTCTATAAGCCTTAAAAAATTTTACAATTTTTTTCAAGCCAAACGGTCCACCAGATGGCTTGAGGTAGTGTTCCACGTCTTTTGAGCTTTGCGCTGCCCCTCCCTGGTCCAACACCTCAGCAGTTCTGCAATGGAATATGGCATGACGCAATACATGCCAAGTATTGACAAAAACATGTTCTGCAACTGACTTGTTACTCTGCAATGCTCAAAGAGGCGGTAACTTCTTCAGACTGTTCTTCGCACAGTGTACATCTACTGCAAAGCTGAAAACCTCTCTGTTAGAGGTTGGTTTGGGTGAGACATGCCTCCCTAGCCACAATCCAGGAGAAGCAAGAGATCTTAAGAGGCGCCAAATTGAACCAGATATTTTTCCAACGCCCCTGTTGTTGAGCCACTTATCTTTTTTTCTTTCTCTTTTGTCTTGCCATTGCTCCCAATCACAAACTAGTTTGCATCCATTGAATGGTGGGGTAGTTTTGTGAAAAATAGCTAAAATTTTAACTCTCTGCTTCACCAAAACTTTTTGGGTGTCCAAATGGATGTCTCCAATAGTTTTTAATCCTTTTCAATTGCTGGAAGAATCAGCTTTTTTAAAGGCACGCTTAAAGCGCCCTTAGGCCCTGAAGCTTGGGGAAAACCAGGTTGTGTGCTTCGTCTCGCTTAATTGGCGCTTTAGCGTAGGCGTCAACCAAAGGGCTAAGGCATGTGCACCTTCACCCTTGCGTTCGGTCCTTAAGGGCTCAGCAATATACATATAGCTTAATTATAGGTTTTTCATTCTTTTCTCCAAATAATTATCCTTTGCATTTATAGTTGCATTTTCTTGCATTACATTTCTATTTTTGTTTCTCTTCATTGGTGCTTTTCTTCGAAAAACCCCACGCTTTAGCTGCGATTTGCGCTTAAAGCTCCAACAAACTTTGGTGCTTTTTTGAGCTTTTCGCTTTTGACTACTCTGGGAAGAACGGGAGTATCCTTATATGCATGTAAGCATTGAAATGCAATTTACCAAAGGAGTTCTGCTGACCATCTCTTAGTACAAAATGGGAACTCCAACAATTTCTTAGTGCAATCCTGTTATGACTAGCTCTGTTCTTCTGTAGTTGATCCATAAGGATGTGGCGACTAAGTGCTAGCTAATGTTTCACTGGCTATGTGTGTGTGTTGGGGGGGGGAGGATTTTGTTTCTTTTATACACTATCATAGTGCTTGCAATATATCAAATTATTTGTTTTTCGTAGGTGATGAGAAGCTGCTCCAAACTGAGTAAAATCTTCTTGGCAGCTATGGTTTATGAGGGTCATAAGACAGGGATGAGTGAGACCACCTTTGACAAGGTAGGTTACCTGTCTTCTATCTTTTGCAGTTTCGCCTCTTTTGGTATCTATGATTTAGTGATGGATTATGTGTCTCTTGTAGTGAAACCGGATTAATTGATCTCTTTTCCAATTTGCTCTTTCCCCTTTGATTCTACTCTTTCTTTTAACTTGGTTTTTATGCTCTTATCTTAAAGTCTTCTGGCCTATCTCTCATGTGTAGTAGCTTGATTCTTTTTTAAGTTTGCTCCCTAACATAGTTTTCTCAATGCAGTTAGCAATAACTGTTTCCTGTCTCTGTACAAGCAACAGTGAAAAATTTCCAGGGTGGGATACGCTTTTAAAAGTCGGGTAAGCCACAATATTCTTTCGTTCCCTTAAATTTTCAAGCGAGAAACTCTTAACTTTGCATTAATGAGGTTCCAGATTCCTTGTTTAATTGCTCTATATAGTGAGCGGCAAGCCCTGATCCTTTCATTAGCAAATTCTGGTAGGAAAACACTCCTTACGTTGTTGGTAGCCCCTGGCTGTCATCATGAACGATTAGTTCCGTGTTCTGATGATGCCATTCTCATAATGTTGTGAAATACATTTAACTGTTGATATGAATAAAAGTGGATGCCAGTGAATGGTGACTATAAATCCTCTTTCATTTGGTTAATTATCCTACTTATGTCATTTATTTTGTTTGGTGGCAGATGCAAGCTTGGTGAATGCAGAATACTTCTATGTGAATCTGGAGTGAAGCATAAATTGCAAAAGTTACAGCTCAACTTCCCAAGGTCAGTTTCTTTTAAGTCTTCGGTTGTATGTGAATCAACCCTTATTCCTGATTTTCTCTTTCAATTAAAATGTCGTTATAGTAGCTCATCCTGAATAATCAAAATGCATAATCATGCGTGCCCAAAGTCTTAACAGTGACAACTTTGTTATGATAGACTCAAAAATACATTTATCGACACATTTGGGAAAGAAACTCACCATCTGACTAATGGGAATTTTATCTGTCAAATTTGTTGTTAGTCCATGTTTTTCCTTGTTTCTGAGAAGTCTAGGCTAAGTTGGATTGGGGTTCCTCAGCATTTTTATTTATTTAAGTTTTCAATTGTACCTGATTCTTTTGGGGCCTAAGCGTTTTGGTTATAGCCGATGGCATGACTTGAATTCAGGAATCTTAATTGTGTAAACCCTATTATGAAAGCTTATCATTCTGTTTATATATTAAGATCTTCAAAATGAAGACCTTATGCTTGTTTCTTACATGGATGATCTATATTAGGAAAGAAATGTTTCAGATAGGATATTCAGGATGAGTAACTTATTACTCTTTCCAGAGATCATCTGTTAAGTGAAATTCTTTCATTCAACTAATGATCCTATCCTTTTTTAAGTGTAAGCTGTTTTAGTCCATCAAAATAACCTCTTGAAATGTTGGCTTTTTGAAAAGATTATGGTAAAGTGAAGTTCTTTCATCCTACTGCTAATCCTGTAAAATTTTGGAAATGAAGAGAGAATTATCCTCATTCTTCCAAATACCCCCCC